ACAAGACACATCTTAATAGAATTCCTTTCCATTTCCATTTACCGTGCGGTCATTAGAAGAGGGGTGGGGAGCGAGGGGGGAGAGGAAGGGGAGGGGGAAGGGACACAAACCCTCACCCCCTCTAAACCCTCCACTCCACGTCTCTTGGTCTTTCTTCACACTTCATGCCCCTCCTCGTCCTCCCGTACTCCTGTGTTTCTTCCTCCTCTCTCCCTCTCCCCCAACCCCCCTCTTCCCAATGCACTCCTATACCCACGCCCGCACCCCTCCGAGGCCTTCTATATCCTCATGCCCCACCACCCCATACTTTCATTTTCTCCTCGTCTCGCCCATGCATTCCCACCCCTCATTCCCTTTCTCCTCCCACTCATGATCTACCATCCATTCCGGTTCCCCGCACTATTATCCGTCCTCATCCTCCTGCTCCTTGTCCCTCCTGTGTCCTCCGACCCTAGCCTCATCACTCATCCACACTCATCCCTTTCACCCACCCTCATCCCCCATTCCTCATCCATTCCACCCATCCAGGTCCTCTCCCCATCCCCCACTCTCTTCCCATCCACTGTCACCCATTTCCATCCCGCCTAACCACCCTTCGCCCAGCCCCACTCTCGGCCGCGCCTTCCCCGAAACTCAAGAGCTAGCCCGACCTTTCCCGCCGGTAGGTCAGTCGAAAGGGGAAGGTCGGTGGTACCTTTTTTCCCTCGCCTGCCATTCATCCGCAAGCTCAGACTTTTCTCCCCTTCCCTTCCCTCTCTCCCTCCCTTTCTCCTCTCCTTGTCTCTTCCTTTCCTCCCTCGTTCCTGTCTTCTGCTCGCCTTCCTCCCTCTTCTTTCCTCTCTCCCGCATATACCAAAGGCGCGCGCGCACACACGCACACACACGCACGCACGCGCGCACACACACACACACACACACACACACACACCACACACACACACACACACACACACACACACACACACACACACACACACACACACACACACACACACTCATACACGCACGCACGCACACACCAGAGAGAGAGAGAGAGAGAGAGAGAGAGAGAGAGAGAGAGAGAGAGAGAGAGAGAGAGAGAGAGAGAGAGAGAGAGAGAGAGAGAGAGAGAGAGAGAGAGAGAGAGAGAGAGAGAGATAGAATGAATCGAGAGAATAGAAAAATAGTGATAGTAAGGTCGCATAAAGTGCGAGTGATTACGCGAGAGGGAATAAGAGAGAGGGAGAGAGAAAGAAAAAGAACAGAAATCAAGAAGACCCTCCCTTCCCCTCCCCCTCCAAGCTTTGTAATTACGCACTTCCTCGAGTTTCCTCCAAGTTGAGTGCACTTCTCGATTAAGTGGTCCCCTCATCAGATTTTTTCATGAATGATAATCTCGGATAATGCACCGAGTCATGAACAGCGAATATTAACTCGAACGGGAGAGAAAGGACTGAGGGAGACGTCACAGGCTGAAGCCAACAGGTCTGGGCGTTTCACTGCATATGGTTTCAGTTGGGCCAATTTTGTCATGTTTTTAAGATCGATGTGCTTGAAAGGTCGTCGTATTTCATATGAATAGATTGATTTGTAAATCCATGGATGGATTTATAATATGTACACACACATGTGTATATATAGAATGTATATTGTGTAGACTTTGATTAATCCAAAGGTTGCCAAATGTTGATGAGTTATATATTCTGTTATACCTGTATTTGTCCCTATTTTTCTTCAACGACGAATGCGCGTATGTTCTTAATTAGCTTGCCCCCCCTTCCTTCCCCCACATCCACACACCTCCGGTCACAGCCATGTAAGTCACGACCGCACTGCGCAAGGGGCCTGAGTGGGTCGCAGGTGAGAGGGATCGGGACCTTAGATAACCCAGGTCACGGAGAGGCGCAGTCAGGCCGGGCGGCGGCATCTGCGGCTGGGAGAGTGAGCAGCTCCCACATGGCTTAGCGGATTCGTAGGTAGTTTCCGCGTGTGGCTTGGTCTTGATCCAGCACTTAATTAAGCCGGAGCTTTGTGTGGCTTAATTCCTCGCGCTTTTCTTTTATTTCCATTTTTAGAGAGAGAAAAATATATATATCCCCGCGCCGTCACTTTCGGAAACTTGATCCCCTCCCCTCTCCTCTCGCTTTCCCCTCTCCTCCCGGCCTTTCTCTTTCTAGCCCCTTCGCTGCTGGTCCCTATCCTCCCCTTCCCTCCCCATTCTGAAGGATGTTGACTAACCCCTTTCCCGGTGCCTTGCAGGGTGGAGGACGCCGGTCAGGAGGCTCGTGGGTAAAGAGCCCAGGAGTGCGGCGCCCCGAGGTATCCCAGGTGACGCTGCAGGGATGGCTGTACAAGCAGGGCGCCGACGGCCTGCACCTCTGGAAGAAGAGGTGGTTCGTCCTCTCCGAGTACTGCCTGTACTATTACAAAGGTAAGATCTGTAGAAGCAGATGATGTTTTTTAGATCTTTTTTTCAGTCACGGTTATGAGTAAGATTAGTTATTAATGAGGCAATTATCATCGTTTCCTCGTGCCTTTGTTCAGCATCATCCCCTCTCGAGCTTGATCACAAGACAAGCCGGGGATGGGGGCCGAGGAAACGTCCCATTGTGAAGTCTTTATGTAAGACGACCCTCGATGGGGGCTGGCGACGCATCCCGCACCAACCCGCACTCTTCTTGTCGTCCTGACGTCCTCTCGTGCCGGAAGTAAGTCAAGGGAGGGGGGTGGAATACGTAGATGACATCATTATGAGCCAGGTGCTGTCTTCATACTTCATCTGTCGCGAAAATATGATGGATGCGCGGCGTGCATATCAGCTCCACAATGTGCGCGGCGGGGCGTAATGCAGGTTTTTTGTTGTTGTTGTTGTCTGTTGCGTTCGAAACGTTTGAAGACCAGCCGTATGTTTTTTTTGTGAGTATCAGAAGTGACTTGCCTGACAATCAGTAGAAAATTTGTTTTGCGATTCAGAAATGAGTGATAAATAAAAAGCTTTAGGGTTTTTGAAGTGTTAAATTTCGTATCAGGATAATGAAATTAATACAGCGAAGCCACATTGGACAAAGTCGAACTAGTTGAGGCGGGGCCGACGCGGATCTGCGAATAGAAGCCATTGGCCAGAGGGACCATAGAAATCGAAATTCTATCTCCAGGTATTTGGCGCATTATTACATACATTTCCACGGGAAATATTCGACTTCAAATTACGGTCGTTTTCATTCCAAATGCCCCAGATCATATACGCCTTACTTAAACGACCCGTTGATGAGGGCTAATTAGGGTAAAAGTCGGCATTTACTTTTGAATCCAGTAATTGTCGTATGGTCGCCATAATTACTCAGCGACGGAGGTACAAAAACGCAAATATTTCCACAAAGGCGAACTGGAATCGCTCCGCCCATCTTTGTTGTGGCGACTTGTCCGTTGTCTTCGAAACGGCTTCGACTTCGGCTTAAATATTTGGCTTAGTTGATCTCAGGTTCTGCAGGAATGTTGTACATAGGAAAGGCGTGTACAAGGGCACGTACACATTTGAATGAACGTGAGTGTTTACATTTGCGGGCATGTACTCGCCTGCTTTGATTGTTTCTGTTTCTTCTCGTATGTTTTCTTCTTTTTTTTTTTTTTTTCTCTCTGCCTCTTTTTTCTTTTTCATTTTTGGACTCTGCCCGAATTCCCGTTCCTTCTCATCATTTGTTTGTTTGTCTTAACTCTCACCCTTTCTTTGCCTTTTCCCATTCTTTCCCTTGCTCTTCCTTCCCTCCCTCCCTTTCCCTTTCTCTTCCCTTCCCTTTCATTTCCTTCCTCCCCTCCCTTTCCTCTCATCCCTCCCCTTCATTTCCTTTCCTCCCCTCCCTTTTCCTCTCATCCCCCCTTTCCTCCTCCCCTCCCCCGGTTCCCTCCCTCCTTCCCTCCAACTTCTCCACCTCCCTTCCCTCCCTTTAAACTTAACCCTCCCCCTCCTTACTTTGTCTCTGTACCTCTCTGCCTTCCTTCCTGCCCACTCACCCTCCTTCCCATCCCCCTCCCTCCCTCCCCTCCCTCATTCTCCCCCACCAACCTAAACTCCCTCCCTCCCTTCCACTCACTTCCGCCCCTACCTCCCTCCCTACCCACCCCCCCTTACTCACTTTCCACCCTCCTTACTCACTTCCTCCTACCCTTACCTCATTCCCTTCTCTCTCCTCCTCCCACACCTCCTCACCTCCCTTCCACCTCCCTCCCACCTCCCTCCCTCCCTCCCCACCTCCCTCCCTTCCCACCTCCCTCCCTCCCCTCCCCACCTTCTCCCTCCCACCCTCCCTCCCTCCCAATAAGGCAAGAAAGTCCAGTACGGATAACCTGCCGATGTGTCACCTGATGTAATGTGATCTCCCGCCCGCCCGCCCGCCCGCCCTGGCTAGCGTGCCGACGTGTCCTCACTATCTCCCCACCCCCTTTTCTTACACGCAGAGGACTTTGCTTCACCTACCTATTTTTCTTTTACTCGTTTTCTGTCTCCCACTCTTTCTCTTTCTAGATTTTTCCTTCTTTTTCTCTTCCTCTCTGTGTCTCTCTCCTTTCTCCGCTCCTCTCATCTCATCTCCCTCTCCCTCTCCCTCTCCCTCTCCCTCTCCCTCTCCTCTCTCTCTCTCCCTCTCCCTCTCCCTCTCCCTCTCCTCTCCTCCTCTCCTCTCTCCTCTCTCTCCTCTCCTCCTCCTCTCCTCTCCTCTCCTCTCCTCTCCTCTCTACCTCTCTCTCTCTCTCTCTCTTCTCTCTCTCTCTCTCTCTCTCTCTCTCTCTCTCTCTCTCTCTCTCTCTCTCTCTCTCTCTCTCTCTCTCTCTCTCTCTCTCTCTCTCTCTCTCTCTCTATATATCCCTCCTTCTCATTCCCTCCATCTCATCCCTCCTTCTCTCTCCCTCCATCTCCCTTCATCCCCTCCTTCCCTCCTCTCCCTATCTCCTTCCTTCCTCTCTCTCTATCTCCTTCCTTCCCTCTCTCCCTATCTCCCTCCTTTCCTCTTTCTCTATCTCCCTCCTTCCCTTTCTCCCTCCCTATATTCCCCTCTCATTCTCTCTATATCTTTTCCTCACCCTCCCGCTTCCTTTATCTTCGCACCTGTCAACTACCCCTCCTCCCCTTAATGCACCTGTATGTTGCATCCAGTCCCTTCCCTTGTCGGGAATGCTGTAATGGTTCTCGTATTTTTGCAAAAAACGACACGAATGTCGCCCTTTTTAAATATAAAACAATACTGCTCCTCTTGTTTCGTTTCATATATAAAAGACGACTTATAACAATCCCGCCTCAATAAAATCTGATTCTTATATCTAATTCTCCTCCCGCGGTGCAAGGATGGTGGCAAGGGAAGAGGGCAGCAGTGTGTTATGGGTGCACTGTTGCCATACCCGTGTGTGCATGTACCTGCTATTATCCCACGACCACCCCGGGCAACGGAGCGGCGTTAAGCGGGCCCGGTGTAGACATTGGGCCTAAGAATTCGCAGCAGCGGGAGTACCGTTCGCGGAATCGATGCCAGGTGGGATGAGGCGGCCGTTGGACACTCGTTACAGCAAAAATCGAAGAGCGAAGGATGAGCCGCGGGTTGGTGTGAGTGAGGTCTTGCAAGATTGCTCGGAATGTTGTTACTCTGGCCGACCCCAGACCCAGTGTTGCCACCTCCCGCCCGCAGGCACACCCCTCGCCTGGCCCACGCACCGGACGCTTCGCCCACCTTTCTGCAACCTGCGGAGCGGAGTATTGGCAGCGAGGGTTTGCTGTGAGGAGGATGCTCAGTGGGGCTTAATGCGTTTTTAGACTGGAGCCGATTCCCTCCCGGAGATTGGAGAGCGCCACTCGGAACGGCGGCCTTTGTGGCGTCCATTTAATCGCGAACAAGAATGTCGGCGTTGCCAAGGAGGGGGAAATCGCCGCGCTTCTTTATTGCGTTTTTGATGAACACTGAACACTCATTCTCGGGGCTATAATCGCTGGTTATCTTCGTGTTCTGCAACTTGCTAATGCGCGACTCGAAAGGGCGTATCTAAGCCTTCGTGGTTACAATGTTTTTAGTGCAACAGAGCCTCCTACCCATCCCCACCCCCACCTCATGCACGCAGGAAATCAGAGTTTTGCAAATGACGAGGGCGAGGGAGGCGCCACAGCCCCACGCCGGGTCGCCCCCTCGCTTCCTCGCCCAGCAATCTCTCTCTCTCTCTCTCTCTCTCTCTCTCTCTCTCTCTCTCTCTCTCTCTCTCTCTCTCTCTCTCTCTCTCTCTCTCTCTCTCTCTCTCTCTCTCTCTCTCTCTCTCTCTCTCTCTCTCTCTCTCTCTCTCTCTCTCTCTCTCTCTCTCTCTCTCTCTCTCTCTCAGGTCATTCTTTATCCAGGTTTCCCTTTACCTTCGCACCCGCCCTGTCCGTTGCACCTGTCAGCTTTCCCTCTTCTTTCTCACAGCCAAACACCCTTTCAAAATCTGGCGTCGTGGCTGTTCTTCATGGCGAACCTTGCTAAATGTGAGATGCATTGCTCACGAGATATTGTCGGCTCACCAAGGTGTCTGGCTGGCTTTGTTCGTAGGAAAAGGTTTCTAGGGTTTATAGGAAAACAAATTGATGTGGAAACTTAGTGTTCTTCCGATATGAGCTAATAGGAATCCATACCAACAGAGAAACTAATTTTTCAGTAATTAATATTCCTTAAAGTGGTAATACAATGCACCAAACACAGTAAGAGACGCCACCCCAAATTTGTTTAGTCACCCATGAAAACTTCTTTGTTACCGATATCGTTTTCTTTGACGCCCTGGACCCATCACAGATAAAGAACTTGAGCTTAAGTGTGAATATTTAGACAGTTTTAATCTATTCTGGTGCACATTCAATTGAAAATTTTAGGTGATAATGCAAATGCAAATTTAATAGCTATATACTGCATCGCTAAAATATGATTGCATGTGAATGACCTCACTATTTACCTGGGCCTATATATCTATGTACATTCTTCTAATACAATTACTATTACTACTACTAATTTTACATACGTATGTCGGTTATTGATATATAATTATGTATGTATAATATATTTGTATAATACCTACATAAATATATAAATATTTATACACACACATATATGTGTATGCATGTATGTAAGTATGCATGCATGCATGCATGTACACACACACGCACGCACACGCACACACACACTCACACTCACACTCACACTCACACTCACACACTCACACTCACTCACACACTCACACACTCACACTCACACACACACACTCACACACACACACACACACACACACACACACACACACACACACACACACACACACACACACACACACACACACACACACACACACACACACACACACACACACACACACACACACACACATATATATGTATATATATATGTATGTATGTATGTATGTATATATATGTATATATGATGTTTTCTTTCACAATGATACATATTCCTTCACGCATATACACGCAGTGTACCTGGGTACATGGATACACATTTATTTATGCATATGAACGTGTAGGGATGATAATAATAGTAGCAGTAGCTGCAGTAGCAATAGTACCAGCAGCACTAATAAAAGTAGAAGAAGAAAAACAGAAAGAAATATGGAGCATAAGTGCGAGCGCGAGAAGAAAGCGGCGCGGCGATCGGACCTCCCTCACCTCTGGGCAGGTCGGGTCAAAAGCGGTGCAGAGTGCGAACCCGCTTTACATGAGAGGTCAGGAGTGGATGGCATTAGTAGTACCTGTTGAGCTGAAGAGAGGGTGGGATGGGTGGCGTTAGTGCGGCGAGTGGCCACCAGAGGGCTAGGGCAAGTCTCGTGGCCCCATTGGACTCGAGGCGAAAGAGTATGCGGAACTGGGGAGTCTGATGCACCATGCCATGCTCTGCCTCCGCTTGCGTCCTAGCAACATGGATGTTCGGCTTTGTTTATTCCATTATTGGGGACAGTGTGAGGTATTGTCACTGCTCGAATTCATCCAACCGGCCTTAAAACGCCCAGACACGAATACAGTCTCAGATAGGATCGCTCAGCCTTATAACGGTACCAGGCAGCCACGGGCCAGGGGCATGCCCGCCCCGCCAACGCTTTACTTTCTTCGGCAGTCCTTCCTTGTTGCTCTTCCACGCAGTCTTCCAGCTTTATAAATCACGTAACCATCGTGTTAGACCCGCCTCTCTCGCCCTTTAAATTTAAAAGGAAGGAATAGGCTTTGTAGCGGCGTGTTTAGAACGAGGTATGCAAGGGTTTAGCTGACCTGGCGCTGACACACTTTAACCCGTGGCTCTCGTCCAGCGCTTTCGTTCATCTCTCTCGCTGTGTTTACTCTGCACGACCTCTTTTGCCTTCTCTTTCGTTCTTTTTTTCTTTCTTCCACTTCCCCTCCTTTCAGTAGGCCGACATATGTATTTTCATATTGTGTTTTAGATCTGTATTGTGTATTCCAGTGTGGGTATTTTGCGTTTTCTTCTTTCGTATGAGGTCCTGACGTTGTGTACGAGTGGGCGTGTGGTGGAGAAAATAGTAGGCAGCGGCAGATGGGTACTGTGGCATGTGGGCATCGGGTCAGTTAAAGAAAGTCTGTGGTTGTGTGTGTTAGCGTCTGTGTCTCGCTCCGTGTTTCTCTCTCTTTATCTTTATCTCTCTGTCTCTTTCGTTATTTTATGTGAATGTTATTAACAGTACACTCTCCTTAGTATTCGCAAGGAAAATTAAGGGGAATGTTTTGAAACTGGAAATCTGAGTGAATATCTAACTCTTGATGTGGGTCAATATGTGATGTACAGTGCAGTGGCTTTCTGTCGAAGAAGTTTAGAAAAATGAATTAGTGGGAAATTATGATATTTTGATGTGATGTGCGTGTCCCGTCATTGAGATCGTGAAGCGAGTTAATCATGGTTAAGAAAAGCAGAAGAGGTAAGTTAACACCAATGTCTCTATATGATATTGTGATCATTAAAAGATTGATGTCTCGACTGCAATCGGTAGGAATCTGCTTAACGGTTTTGAGTTCGTACCGTTGATTAGACACGAGTGCCGAAGCCAAGGCAAATGCGATTACTAACCTAATCACGGTTTGGCGCGCCGGCACAAACAGACACACTGGAGTACAATGGGAGACCCAAACGCAAATACATACTTGCATGCACGCACACACACACGCAGTCTCTCATGTGCAAGTATGTAGTCGTACACGCGCTCATAGACACGCACACACGCGTGTAAATACACACACGCACATGTACACGTACACGCACACGCACACGCGCATGCACACGCATATGTACATGCACATGCACATGCATATGTACATGCACATTCACACGCACACACACACGCACGCACACACACACACACGCACACACACACGCACGCACGTGCACGCACGCACGCACGCACGCACGCACGCACGCACGCACACACACACACACACACACACACACACACACACACACACACACACACACACCACACACACACACACACACACACACACACACACACACACACACACACACACACACACACACACACACACACACACACACACACACACACACACACACACACACACACACACACACACACACACATATGCGCATCATCGTTATTGATTAATCTTTTGACGCCTGTATTGCAAAACTGTATTACATTTACATTGCAATAGTAGTAGTAGTAGTAGTAATTTCAATGGGAGTAATAGAGTAGTAGTAGTAGTAACTGTAGTAGTACTACTACTTGTCGTGATAGTAGTAGCAGTAGTAGTAATTGTATTATTATTAGTAGTAGTCATTGTAGTAGTAGTAGTAATTATAGTAGTTGTTTTATTAATTGTAGTAGTAGTAGTAGTAGTAGTAGTAAGTGTAGTTTTAGTAATAGTAGAAGTAAAAGTATTAACTGTAGGAGTAGAAGTAGAAATATTGACTGTAGGAGTAGAAGTAGAAATATTGACTAGGAGTAGAAGTAGTTAAAAGTAGTAGTAGCATTACTTAATAAATATTTG